TGATGTGCTAAAGGCATTGAAGGTAACTAAACAGGGTTAAAGAAAATGCACAGGAAAACGTAAACATACAAAATGGTCGAAAGCTAAAGTTGAAGAGGTGTGCAATAAGAAATAAAGTTTGCCTTTACCTTTAATCTAGCACTCAGGAGGCAGGTGATCACTGTGGGACTGAGGCTGGCTTGGTCAACTTAGTAAGTTCCAGGCCAGCTGGGTCTATGGGAGAGCCTATCTAAAAAAAAAAAGAAATATAGTTTGCTGAGCCTGTGAGATGGTTAAGTAAAGGTGCTTGCTGCGAAGCCTGAAAACCTGAGTTCTGTCCTTGGCACCCACATGATGGAAAGAGAGAGCTGACTTCTACAAGTTGTTAGAAATGTAGTTTGCTGAGCCTGTGAGATGGTTAAGTGCAGAAGTGTTCTTGAGTGTAGTTTGCTGAGCCTGTGAGATGGTTAAGTGTGTCCTTGGCACCCACATGATGGAAAGAGAGAGCTGACTTCTACAAGTTGTTGTCTGACCTCCACAGGCCTCCCCACATGCATACACACATACAAAAGAAATAAAAGTAATTAATTGTTTTAAAAAAGAAATATAGTTTGTGTACAAGAAAATATATCCTATAATCTGTTGAAAAAATAAGACCCACCTTTTTTCCTTATTTTTAAAATGAATGTTCATATTTATGAAATTATAGTTGATATTTAAAAATTTTACAGGGTATTCACGAGCGAGATAGTCAAATTAAGATGCTCACTGAACAAATAGGACAGTATACTAAAGACATGGAAAAAAATACTTTCATTATTGAAGATTTGAAAAATGAGCTCCAAAGAGACAAAGGTAATTTAACATTTTCTAAATATATGAAATTTTTTTTCATATACCATTACATTTTGAAATATTATTTTTATTAAAATAATACTGTCATGTCAGTGTTGCTATAAATATATATTTAAATAATTGTGAAATAGTAAAGCATATTTTTTAGTGCTTAAATTTGTAAATGATTCATGTTTTTCTATCTTTTTTCTGATGAAAACAATTCAAACACTGTTAGTAGATGGGTTGTATAAAATATTTAATGGCAGGAAGATATTTTTCCACCTCTTTTTTTATAATTAACAAAGATGCATTGATGAGTGTGTTGCCTTTGTGGATTCTTTTCAGAGGTAATTTGACAGGTCAACATTTGAATTAATCCCACTGTAATCTCTCATGTTTTCTTTGACTAAGTCATATTTTGCCTGTCATTTGAAATTCTCTGAATTTAAGCCTTTCCAATATCAAGTGCTATTGTATTTCTATAGAGCTACATATTGTGAGTATATCAAGGCATACTAGTGCAAACTATTGACAATAAATTTACAGACCTATTTGTTATAGTTGCTGAAGATAATGAACAAAAGAATATAGGAAATAATATGAGGCTTCTAGATAATAGAGGAAAAGTCTCACTGGACATAATTGAACAAAGACTTGAAGTAAGGGAGTGAGCAATGTATGTAACTATAACCAGTGAAAATAGGTTCAAAATCACCAACATATTTGAGGAATCACAAAGAAACTTTGATAGCTGGAGTAAATAATGAGCAGCAGTAGAAAAGATTAGTTACCAGAAACCTTTGCGCAGAGTCCATATAGTTTATTACTTTTATTTTGCCAGAGGTTCAGGAGAGAGGAGTGATTTAATTGCACCTAGGTTACATCTGCAATAGAGTATAGGAGTAATAGGGTAAGAAGCAGGGAGACCATTATAATCAATTGAAATCATTGGTAGACTAGAGCTTGATACTAGCTGTGGTCTTAGTTGTAGCCACTTTAACCTGTTTTTTGAAGGAGATAGAGGTGGAATGTGCTGGCAGATCAGATGAAAGATTCAATAGATACTTATAAGACTTGATCTGAACCTTGGGAAGGGTTGTGGGAAGAGCAGGGTTAGAGATGATAAGGTGCTGTTTTGAAAATGCTAAATTTCAGATGCTTATCAGACTTCCAGTTGAAAATGTTAAGTATGTACTTGTATGGGGAACTCTAAGGTTCATGAGCATAATCTTGGTTACAGTATATATTAGGTAGCCATCTCTATAAAAATGCAAAGAAGTCATCAAGGGAAGGAATATAGATTACAAAGAACAATCTCAAGATTGATCCCTGCAGTACTTGTAATTTAGAGGCTGAGGAGATGAAGAGAAACAACCAGAGGACACTGAAATGGAATGTGCAGAGATGGTAGGAGCACCATGAGAATGGAGACCCCTGAGAACCATGTGAAAATGCCACCTAGGAAGAATAAACTCTTCAAAGCTCTGTACATTTCTGGTGATTTTCTTGATGAGCACTGAAAATGATCAAGCTTAGGAATGGTCATTTTTGAATCAAGAGAAGATGGACAGAAGAAATATAGGAAATCTTTTCAGAATTGTTTCTGTAAAAAGGAGAAAAATGCATTAGTACCCTGAGGAGAAAGAAAGGTTAGGAAATGGCTTCTGAGGTGGAAGAAATAACTAGTGCTTCTAGAGTGATGGAGAAGTCCCATAAGAGAAGAACAACTGATGGAGGATAGCAGAAGGAATTTCTGGAGCAAAATCCTTAAGAAGGCAGTGGTCTGGGTGGAGATGGCAGTGGAAAATGTTGCCATTAATTAGGATCACAGAGCTTATCCATCCATAATTAGAAGAAAGGTAATGCATACAGATGTGGGGGCTCTGTAGACGTTCTTGTAGTAGGAACCTGCAGAAGTGTTCTTGATTACTTCGATTTTATCAGGAAATAAGAAGTTTCCCTGCTGAAAATAGTATGGAAAATACATTGCAAATTTTGAAAGATAAGAAAGAAGTGATAATCTGGGAGGAAGATGACTGGGGAAATATATTACTGTTGAGCAGGGTCAAGAACCCTCTTGACATTCTATAAGTATTTCTCTGTGTTAGAATACCTTATAATAGTTGAAATGGTTTTAAAAGGATTGCTGAGTATGGATTTTACATATGCTAATATCCAGAGAAAGCATAGCAATTGATCTCTGCTGTTAAATAAGAAAGAGTTATTTATCTAAATGACATTTCAACTAATTTGTAGTCATAGAGTCTCTAAAGCTCGTGCAGGGTATGTGTGCTAAGCTGATGCTCTGTCTGAATTTTAAGTGGTAAGCCATGATGGTTCATGATTTTCTTTTGTTCTTTTATTAGCTTCAGCTATTGAGATCTTCAGAAGAATGGCAAATTCAATTGTGTGAGCATCTAGACTTAGGTAGTCTTCCATCCGAAATGATCTTTGCTTTCACGTCTGTATCCCAAACAGCACGATGAAGGCAGAGGGGGACAAGAAGCAAAAACATGCTTAAATATAGGTGGATAAATAAAGTATTGACTGGAAGGCTCTGTGAAAGAAAGGGAGAGTAGATATTGGGGGACAGCTCAGCCTCTTTCCTTGCTAAGCTGTTGGTTCCATTGATCACCTATCCTAGTCTGATGCCAAATGTAAATATATTAGTAATTGTTGGTTATGGATGAGTCTGGGAAAATTTTTAAATGATAAAAATATTATATTTTGATCTAGCAGCAATTTAAGTGAGCTTAACTCAACATGTAGTTTCCATTCTCATGTTTCATCCTTCATAGCCATAGCCTTCTTCTTGAAAACTTTCTTGAACTCTCATATGATCTTTTTATTTTGATGTGCTTAGCAATGGTATGACCACACACCTACATGCAGGAGTATAAATGGAAATTCAGTTTTTATTTCCGGTTGGCCATGTGTCCAACTGGAAAATGTGTAGTACTGTTATGGTGATCCAAAGAGAGACTGATTATTCTGACTAGTAAACAGCCTCTCTCAAAATGATCAATTTTTGTAAAGTAGATTTTATAGCATTTTAAATAATCCATATCATTTTAACTAGGGTAATTGTACTAAACTCTACTCTTTTAGTTGATTTTATAAATAAAATCAAGAAGTACTCTGGCTTATAAAATTCCAGCATTTATGAAACTTTTGTTGTGCCATACCACTTTTTCTGCCCTATCTAGAAACATCTGATTTATAGGAATAAATAGTCAAATCAGTTCATTCATGATTTTTGTTTTCACACTGTAGGTACTTCAAACTTTAATCAGCAGACTCATTACATGAAAATTCACTCAAAGGTACAAATTCTAGAAGAGAAAACAAAAGAGGCTGAGAGAATAGCCGAGCTGGCTGAAGCTGATGCTAGGGAAAAGGATAAAGAATTGGTTGAGGCTCTAAAAAGATTAAAAGATTATGAATCGGTATGTATTTTTATCTTGTCTTTCAAGAGGTTTAGAATTATTCCTGATACTAAGACTGTTCTGTGCCTTTTATTGTGTTCCATGCAGAAAACAGTAGTCTCTTCTGGTTTTAAACTATTAAAACTTTTGAGCATTTGTTTTTATGAGATCAGAGTGTCTCCAAACATTTGATAGGAGTGTTCTTCTCAGATAAGTGCTCCGCTCAGATAAGCAGTTAAGCAGGACTAGATCCCTAGTTATCTGTGTTCTTTTTGCCACCATGTACGTGTGACACTGCCTAACTTGATGAAACTTGTGATAGGAATGCTCTTGTTGCCTGTTGTGTCAACTCCATCGACTTTTACTTTTATGTTTTGAAATTGTGATTTGTCATACAATTCACACTCATTGGTATGCCTAATTCATTACTTTTTATCTCTATATTTGTGTGCATCTATATAGGGTGAAGTGTTTTATATGTAATGTTCTGAGTCACATTGCTAAACAGAATATTTTACTGAGAAGTTTCAGCTGTTTCATATCTGTTATTATTACTAGATTTGGTTTATATAAACACAGTAAAGAAACTCATTAATCTGTACTATTTTTATGTTTATGTATTAATTTAAAATTTAAAAAGCTCTTGGATATACCTGCCATATAAAGTACAAATATAGTTGTATTTACGCTTAACTTAAAAAAATGATAAATTCAGGGGCTGGAGAGATGGCTCAGTGGTTAAGAGCACTCAGTGGTTAAGAGACTGCTCTTTCAGAGTATCCGGGTTTGATTCCCAGCACCCACATGGCAGCTATGAACTGTCCTTAACTCCAGTTCCAGGAGAAACCGAAGCCCTCCTCTGACCTGCGGCATTGCATGACACAAGTGCACTCACATACATGCAGGCAATACACTCATGCACATAAAATAAAAATAATAAAATATTTTTAAAAAACATTAAAAAATGAATTCGTTCATTTGATTTATTCAAATAAACCATGTTATATTTAAATTGGATGGGGTGTTTTTCAGGGAGTATATGGTTTAGAAGATGCTGTTATAGAAATAAAGAATTGTAAAAACCAAATTAAAATACGTGATCGAGAGATTGAATCATTGACCAAAGAAATCAACAAACTTGAGATGAAGATCAATGATATCCTTGATGAAAATGAAGCACTTAGAGAGCGTGCAGGTAAGCTATCTTTTAAGAAAGCCAGTTTCCTCGTCCCTAATTTTCAAGTTCTTCTTGTTTACTTTTGACTTGTTTATCCTTTTTGTAGGGGGTGGTCCTACTCATCAAATGTTCTCCTCTCTTCCACTGAGCTATACCCCAAGCCTTTACTTTTGGCTTATTTAATTATTTTTAAGTAGTTAAATGTGTTTGGTTTTCCCCAAATTAATACTTCTGTAGAAACACTTAATCAGTAGTGGAGCTACTCTTGATTCAGTTGGGTTTGGGGACCTCATGGTGGCTGGGCAGATCTGAAATACTGCTTTCATTTGTGTAGCATGTTTTCAGTACTAAATGCATGTTTAAAAGGTGAATGGGCATTATATTAATGCCACATATCAGAAGCTAACTGTTCATTTCCCCCCAAAAGAAACATCTATATGATTCGTTAGTTTGCAGAATGCTTTTGTTTCAGATGAATATATGATGCCATTTATAAGTACTTTATAGGCCTTTTAAGGACTTTTAAATACTTTTTAAACAGTTTGTGTTTTACTGTGAGTATTTTAAGAGTTCCATTGAGTCTAAGAAGTAATTTCCAAATATAGCTTGGCAGTTTATATATTCATTTTAATAGGTATTTAGGTAATACTACTAGTTTAAATGGTAATTTATAACTAACTAGCCCAAACCAAGTTCCTCCTTTAAAGTGAAAATTAATATTTAAATGGTGATGTCATCATACTTGCTAAGTATCAATGTTTTCTTAAAATTAAACTGACCATCGGTAAAATTTTTGTCTAATAGAAAAGAATAAATATTTTATATGGATTATTTATGAAAAGTATCTAACTAGAATCTGGAATTATATAGAACACTCAAGTTAGATATATGATTAACTTGACCAGCCAGATCATAGCTAGGAATCTGGATGTACCTCTGGATCACTTAATGACCCTACCAAAGGGTTGTTACAAATACCATATTTTCGGTCTTCAAGGAGTTTAGTCTTCAATGACCAAAGTTTGGGTTATAATTTTTGATTGTTTCAATACTTGATTTTCACAGCCTAATTGCCTAGTAATTAAAAAACAGATAATTAAGGCAAATTAGGAAACAAGTAAACTGAGAGGATTAGACCAATAATAACATAATTAGTATTAATAATGATCACTGCCAAGCATTCCTCTATTATATTTAGGTTAATTTTACTGTACTCTTGGCAGACCAAAATTATAAATAAATAAATAAATAAATAAATAAAACAAATATCTGTATAAGTCACAAAGTGAAAGTGGGAATTGAACCAAGTTCACTTCATGCCAAGGCTTCTGTTCTTAATTGATTTGCACCAAGCTCATAGGGGTTTATCGGGGTTTTCATAGCTTAAGATTTTCACTTTCTTTACAGTACAACAGTATGGAAAACTCTTGCACAAAAAGTTCTCCATTTTTCAAATGATATTGTCTAAAGGAATAATCCTCCCTCCTCCCAGTTAGTTGGTATTCTGTGAAGTTTTTCTTGTTCATTTCCTTGTTTTCAAGACTCTAATCATAGTGCTTTCTATTTCTATTTCAGGCCTTGAACCAAAGACAATGATTGATTTAACTGAATTCAGAAACAGTAAATGCTTAAAACAGCAGCAGTATAGAGCTGAAAACCAGATTCTTTTGAAAGAGGCAAGTGATACTCAACTGAACATTTTCTTGGCTGAAATAAGGAGAGCTACTAATAATTTATACTTTTCAGATTGAAAGCCTAGAGGAAGAACGACTTGATTTGAAAAAAAAAATTCGTCAAATGGCTCAAGAAAGAGGAAAAAGGAATGCAGCTTCAGGTATTTTCAGTTATTCCATATTTTTAAAAGAGTCATTTGGAAGTGAGTTGCCTGGATCTGAAACTTTCTGTGAAGAAGAGTTTGCTCTTCTGTGTACCTGCTACAAGTAATGAGGGAGAATAATGGGCTGCAGAGGAGATCTGAGTATGATTAGGTAGAATCCTGATTCAGAACCAGGTATATCCTTGATCAGCATGTAGCAGTATAACTTTCTGATCTAGTTTGTTTAATAAGCCATCAATAATGTGAGAGACTAACTTGTGAAAAAAAAGAAAATAAAACAAATAATAACAACATAACAATAACTCCCCCCCCCCAAAAAAAATCTGGAAGTGAACAACCTACAAACATTTTGAAAATTTTGTACTGCTACTTTTAGGTAGCTCTATTATACTGTGACTTATAATACTAAAATAGTAATTTTTATTTTGCTATATATTATTAAAGTGCTTCCTTTCTTTAAAGATTGTTGCCTTAGTTTGCTTCTCTATTGCTGTGATAAACATCATGACCAAAAGCAGCTTGGAGAAAAGTGAACAACCTACAAACATTTTGAAAATTTTGTACTGCTACTTTTAGGTAGCTCTATTATACTGTGACTTATAATACTAAAATAGTAATTTTTATTTTGCTATATATTATTAAAGTGCTTCCTTTCTTTAAAGATTGTTGCCTTAGTTTGCTTCTCTATTGCTGTGATAAACATCATGACCAAAAGCAGCTTGGAGAAGAGAGAGTTTATTTCAGCTTATAATTCCCAGGTCATAATCCTCACTGAGGGAACTCAGAGCAGGAACTGAAGCACAGACCATGGAGGAATGTTGCTTACTGGCTTGCTCCTATGGAGTGTGCTCAGCTTGGTTTCTTATACAGCCCAGGACCCCTGCCCTGAAGCTGCATTACTCTTGGTGGGCTGAGCCCTCCTTCATTCAACTGTCAAGAAAGTGTCTCACAGATGTGGTCACGGGCCAATCCAATAGAGGAAATTTCCCAACTGAGACATTTTATTAAACTTAACTTTCACTTTGTTTACCTTACTTGTAGGCAGAGAAATTGCTGATCTTTCTAAAACACGGGACTCTAGATAGCCTGACTAGGCCTCAGTGGGGAATGGCTGGGGACACTGACGGCACAGTGGGCCTTAACAGGGATGACAGAGTATTTGGGCTCCAGTGGGGATGGCGGTATAAAGATAATGAAAATTAGTTAAGTTTTATAATAGCCTTTGCAGTTCATTTTTGTTAGAGGATCACAGAAGGATTTTCTTTTTCTTTTTGTTTTTTTCTTTCATTAAAATTTTTTAAATTTATTTTTATTTTTATGTGTGCTTTGCCTTCATGTAAGTGCACCTGTGTTGTGCATTGCCCACTGAGGATCCCCTGGAACTCCAGTTACATATGATTGCTAGCCAACATGTGGTCGCTGGTAACTGAACTCCAGTGCTCTTAATCCCTGAGATCTCTCTCCAGCCCCCAAACCTTTAATTTTTTTTCATTTTTTTAAGGATTTATTTTTATTTATGTGTTGGTGTGAGTGTACATGCTACATTTGTTCTGGTGCGCAGCACAGGGTGTCTGTTACTCTGGAGCTGGAGTTATAGGCAATTGTGAGCTGCTTGACATGGGTCCTAGGAACTCTTTACTAATTGAAACTTTTAATTTAACATGGACTAAAAAAGATAGAGAAGATATAATTCAAATTCGTCTTTAAGATTACTGATGAATTGTTAAAAATAAACTAACATGCTGAACAAATATTTTGAAAACATTGGAGTTTTTGTTTGGTTTAAAATTTTATTCTTGCATTAGAATAAAGGTGAGTTATTTTGTTTTTTAATTTGTTAATTCACATTGCAGAATTAACCATTGAAGACCTGAACCTAACTGAAAGTTTATCTCAAGAAGATAGAATAGGAGAACAACAAACTTTTATAAAATCCAAAAATATGAATGAAGCACAATCAAAGGTAAAGAGTAATTCTGTGACAGAAAAAGTAAAGGGAACTGTGAACAGTGCACTTTTTCTTCCTTCATCTCATTTCAGACATCTCTTCCTTTATGTTTGTAAATAAATAAAAATGTTTGCTTGCTTACTTCAAGTACTTGCTGAGGAAAGATTGTTTAATGAGACATTATTTACTCTGAATACAGATTAAGAGTTCATATAAAATAGACCTGCTTCATAGGAGACCGCCATTTGCTATTCTGCAATCAGATCAGAATGAGACAGAGAATATATCCAAACCATCATTCTCAAGAATACTGTCTAAAATTCATCATAGTGTAGAAAGTGGAGTGGATCCTCCTGTCTCTTTAACTAGACATTCCTCATCTATGCAAATAAAAGACTTTAATTCAACTCCAGAAGCTATCACAATAAGGGAGATCTTTAAAGCACCATGTCTACAATCTGTAAGAAATCTAGAATCACTAATCAGTACCTTCAGTAAGGAGAGCAGTGAAGAAATAAATGATTACTTATGCTCTCTTTCTGATGACTATGAGGAGAAACTGTCAGGAAGCCATCAAGCACTAGAGAAGAGTAGATTTGTGCAGAAAAGCAGTTCATCTTTTCAGGCTTCAACATCAGCTTCAGAATTGGTACAGAAATTATCACAAAGGCAAAAATCTACAGTATTTTGTCAGCAATTTCATGATCATAGAGTTGTCATGAATAAATCACAAGTAGTAAGATCAGAAGATGAACAGTTTCATTCTCAAATAAAGCATGCTGATCTCAGTTTGAAAGATAATAAAAGACAAAGTGAGGTACCCTCACAAACAAAGATGTTGGAAAGTAAGCTCAAAGTTAATCTTTCAGATCCTGTGCCTGTTACTGAACAATCAAAATTAACTCGAATAGTTCCACTTGAAAATCTTAGAGAACTGCTACAGAGAGAACTTGTATTTCTTAGATCTCAGGTGAGCTTTCCTCCAAATTGCCTTCATGGGATCACATTTTATTAACTCTCTTAGCCGATTTCTGTAACAATTACGATAAGACTTCTTTTTTTAGTACTTATTAACACTAGTTTGTAAAGATTCTCTTCTATTTTTAGACTGCAGTGTATTTGCTGTGAACTTGTCAACCTGCCTAATATATTAAATGTTTCTTCAGATTAAACCAGAGCACAGGATTTACTAATCCAAGAAGAGCAGAGTAGAAATGCAGAAATAGAGCTTGACCGTCAGAGAAGCCATGCAGAACAGGGAGCGTAAAGACAAACCATTAAGAACAATGATGTGCTTAGTAATAAGGATATAAAACTTCTGTGTCTCTCTCTGCCTTTTGCCATGTGAATTGAGGGAGGGGGAGATGGCAGGAAGATCACTGTCTGTTTTGCACTATAAACTTTATTTGTATAATTGCTGTGTTATACCTTATTTGATCAAACATTGTTTTAACTTGAAACCTATTTACTGTTGTGATATTTGCTAAAACATCAGTTTTATTCTCTTTGTTCAGAATGAATTTCTTTCAAGAGAACTAATTGAAAAGGAAAGAGATTTAGAAAGAAGTAGGACAGTAATAGCTAAATTTCAAAATAAATGTAAGTCACTGTTATTTCTTTTCTATATTTATTTTCCCATCCTAAAATTTTTAGGTCTACAGGTCTTTGATTTTTTTATTACCTATTTTATCCTTTAATTGCCTTTATAATCAATCTGTATAACTCAGTCCCAGTTTCTTATCCAGTTGGTTTCTATTGCCATTTTTGGTTGTGAATCTGAAACTTTAACAGTTAAACCATCTTTCCAGCCTTGCATTGTTCTTTTTATTGTTATAGAATATTAAGTCTTGTTTTTAAGGAAGATATTTGTTTAATGTCTTATATTGTCTAATGAAGGTCAAATGAGAAAACTGAACTTAAAGATTTTAATATAAAATGTTGAACCGTGACATGTATATATGTGCATATACACATGATTAAAGTAGGTCTGCCATTTAACTCAACTATTGAGTTGAATTTATAGTTAGATTTTTGTTTATTTACATTTGCTTTTTTCAAATGGTTATTTTTTTTCTGTCTGAAATATTCATCATGTGCTTATACTAATGTGTAGAAAAGATCTACTCATTCCATGAAAAAATATATAATTACAGTAAAAGAATTAGTTGAAGAAAATAAGCAACTTGAAGATGGTATGAAAGAAATATTGCAAGCTATTAAAGAAATGCAAAAGGATCCTGATGTGAAAGGAGAAGAAACATCTCTAATTATCCCTAGTCTTGAAAGACTAGTCAATGTAAGTTATTTTTTCATGTTAATTTCTCACTAACCCTTTTCTTCTGTCTTAGTTTCTTTCCTTGATGCTGTGATGAAATACTCAGACAAAAACAACTTAAGTGTGGCTGGAGAAATGGCTTAGCAGTTAAGAGCTGACTTATCTTGCAGGGGCCCTGGGTTTTATTCCCAGCACCCACATTGTGGCTAGCAACCATCCTTAACTCTAGTTTCAGGGGATCTGACACCCTCTTCTGACCTCCACAGGCAGTACATGACATGAGTACACTTACATGCAGACAGTACACTCATACACACAGCATAAAAATAAGTAAATAAATGAATAAATGAATCAATGAATCAATCAATCAATAAATAAATAAATGAAAAGTAACTTAAAAGAGAAAGGTTTATGCTACAAGTCAAGACACAATACATCATGGCAGGGAACTGTAAGGCAGCAGGTGTTTGAAGCTGCTGACCATATCATATATCATATCCACTGTCCAAAGCAGAGAGCAATCAATGAATTCGTACATGCTGGTGCTTGACTCACATTCTCCATTTATATAGTCCAGGATTCCCTGCTTAGGACATGGTGCCAGTGTTCAGGTCTTCTCACTTCAATGAATATAATCAAGATCACCCACAGTCATTCCAGAGGCCTGGCTCCCAGGTGATGCTTGAGTTTGTCAAGTTGACAGTAACCACTGACTATCACTCCCTCCTTAAGATGGCTTTCCACTGCACACTACCCCATGATTTCTGATGAGATAGGTTTACAGTTATTTTAATCATTTCCCTGTGTATAATGCAGTTTTTCTCACGCTGATTAAAATATTTTTTATTTACATTTTGTTTTTACTAGTTGTTTATAATATGCCAAGGGGTGTGTGTGTGTACAAGAATGTTGTTTGGGGTTTGTTCAGTATATTGCATTTGTTTACTTACACTATTCACTACAATTGGGAAGGTTTCCACCATTATTTGTTCAGTCGTCTTTTTCTGACATTCTCTTTAGGAATACATTTTTGGTATCATTTCAGTTGTTCATCTTTTATTTTTTCTTTTTCAAATTAGATAATTGATCTGCTTTCAAATTTGTTCTCACTTTCCTCCATCATCACTATTCTTACTCAATAGATTATAACCCAAGACCTGCTAGAGTTTTTACACAGAATTTGGAGCTCTTTTTAGGTGACTCTCTTCTCTCTGACATTTGTCCCTTTTTTCCTGTGACTGAGACTGTCTCCGTAGGTAGCTAGACCAGGAATACCACCAGTCACTGCAAGTACAGCTTGTCCTCAGACTCCAGCCTTCAAAGTGGCGCAAGTTCAGGTGCCAACAGTTTTGTCCTTTCGGCCATAAGTCCACTGCAAAATCTGCTTACTTTCTTGAACCTTTAGTTCTTTTGTTTTGTTTTGCTTAAATCATTTGTAGTTTGTGAGAGTATAGGTCTGTTAGGAAATTATGCCACAAACTTGAAAGTGCAGTATAGTGTTTGTTTAAAGACTTCTGTGGTACAGTAACAATTTTGATCATAAATAATATTCTATCTGTGGTTATCATGTAGAGGTGTGAGAGTTCCACAGTATTGATGAGTACCTGCTATATAACCTTTAATAATTACCCATTTTAGATTATTTACCTGTGTCATTTATGTTATCTGAATATATTTAGCATATTTTGTTAAATTGTTTCCTAAATTATTACCTGATTTAAATAAAAATATCCATAATAATTGAATCTCTAAAATCACGATTAATTAGTAATTGAATTCTTTCTAGTATAACACTGTAATTGGTAGCAGAAAGCAACATTGATACATTAAAAAGCTTCTGGGGGGCTAGAGAGGTAATTTACCAGTTAAGACCCAGGTTTGAATCCCAGCACCCACATGGTGGCTAGCAACTCTCTGTAACTTCAGTTCCAGGGGATCCGGCACCCTCGCTTGTCCTCCATGGGCATTGCGTGAACATGGGTGCACTTACACACACACACACACACACACACACACACACACACACACACACACACATACACACACACACAAACGCAGGCATAACACTCAGACACATAAAATAAAAATAATCAAAAAGCTTCCTGAGGTTGGAAAATTAGTGGAAGACATTTCTTTTAATCATTGATTCCTTTATACCTTTTGATTCTGACTTCCTTTTCTGGTTGGTGATGGTTTGTCCTGTGCTGTGTTGAATGCTTAAAATGATTCTTGTTGCTTTTTTGTGTAAATGTCTTATGTCTGTGATTTTTAAAGCCACAGTATTAAACTTCATTCTCCAAAAGAAATTCTACTTAGTTACCAGTTACAAATAGAATAGTCAAGAAATCCTTACTTCTTTTTATTTTCTGTTACATATGTGTATGTGTACATGTATGTGATTCTGTCAGTATATATGTGAGTTTGGTATATGTTTATGTATTTTGTGTGTATGCATGTATGTATGGTCACACGTGGAGGCCATTGGGGAACAAGTGCCCTGCATTATGACTCCTCCTCCTTATTTCCTTGAGACAGGGTCTCTCACTGAATCTGGAGCTAGGCTGGTGGCTAGCAAGTCCTAGCAATCCTTCTGTCTCTACCTCACAGGGCTGGAGTTAAAGGTGCATATGACTAGACCCAGTTTTGTTGTTGTTTTCCTGGGTATTGGGATCTGATCCCAGGCCCTCAGGCTTGCACAGTAAGAGCTTTTACCTACTGAACCATCTTTCCACCCCCTCTACTTTCTGTTTCTATTGACAGTGTCTGGATCTTTCCTGGATCATTGGTCTCACAGAGTTTTCTTCTTTCTTTCTGATTTATATGCTTTCTGAATATAAATCAGATCACTTACCAGTTCTTCCATTAATAAATACTCAGAGCACACGACTGTTTAGATCAGACCATTTTTTCATTTTGCTGCCTCTGCCTCCTGAGTGCTGGGATTAAAGGCATGCGCCACCATGTCTGGCTTGAAAGATATGTATTTTACATTAAATTGTAGCATACAGCTGTTCTGTATACCATATAAACTTTTATATTATGTAACTTATTTTATGGTGGAATAGAAAATTATCCTAACTTTAGAAAGCTCAATTTTCTAAATGTCTTATTTGAAAACAGTGGAATGAATCACACACACACACACACACACACACACACACACACACACACACTATAAATGTAGTGGGACTAGTAATGTAGAACACTATAAGCATGCTAGGTAAGTACCTGAGTACAAGCCAAAACAGAACAAACAAAAAGTAATACAACTAAAATGTAACCAAGTTGCACCTTTCACTTTTTTTTTCATCTTCATCCCTTAAAAATCTTGAAATTCAACAACTGATACCACCTAGGCTATTTAAATTGAGACCAAAAGGATTCATTTCCCAAATAATGGCTTTTCCAAAAGTGCTAAATGAAATAACTTCAAATGGATGACCTTTTAAAACTTAGAAAGAATTTCAAATTTCGAATACAAAGATAGGAAATATGTTTACATAGTATGTATAGGTTTCCTTTAATAGCATATGTAAAAAAGTACTGGGGAAAGTTCCACAATCTGAATACCTGAGTCAAGTACTGCTCTGCTTTCTTACTGTGATAAGACCCAAATTGCTTTTGTTTATACTCTTCAGTTCACTCTATTACAGGATATCTTTCAGTGCTTAAAACCTCCATCTACTCCAATCTCATTTTCCAAAAGACCATGTAGACAAAATGTTCTCTTCAGTAAGACAACAAACTAGACCACTTTGTCAATCAGAATTCTTCTCTCTCTTTTGTCTTCCTTGTAACATTTGGCCCTTGGTTTGTTTTGGTTTTCGTTTTCTTTTTTCAAGTGCTGGGGATTAAACCTAGGACCTTATGTATACTAGGCAATGCTCTTTCCCTGAGCCATATCCCTACTCCCAAGGTCTTACCTTTTAATTGATATAATTTTTTATTTTGCCTGACCTGGTCTGATCTCTTTCAAGGAAAGCATACTTTTAGTAACCAACTGCCTTTAGTTAAACCCCACATCACCCTTCTGAATATACTGTATTTGTATTTACTTATCTTACTTAATTTCTGTTCAGTTTAAAAGCTTACTTTGAATCAACTGTTGCGCTCCATATATTATGTAGGCTTGAACATAATGATGTGTATGTGTGCCATTGTTGGACAGTAAGAGCTGCTGTTGCTCTGATACAGTTTTATTATTTTGGTTGTTCATTTCTTTTGGATTACTTTCTTATCATGGTGTTGGTTATTATCTATGCTTCAACTGTGTGGCGAGGAAGCACTGAACACCCACTGGACTGAAGGAGCTCTTCTATGCCTTTGTTCCTGCCTTTCATTCAGATGCTACACATTTCAAGTCTTTTACATAGAAATCAAATTGGCATGACTAACATTTCTACTTCATTATAGATAACTGAGTGAAGGAAAGAAAATAAAAAGAGTTTAAAAGTCACTTGCTCAGCTAATTAAAAAAATGGCTAATATGTGAATGCTGATCATCTTCCTGTCTGGTTGTTTTCTACTTTGCTAATCTATCAGTATTTACTAGATATTGTTATAATGAAGTAGTTGTTATATTTGATAATATAAGCTGAACTTAAGTTTTATAAATAAAAGTTTATAAATAAGAAATTTAAAGAAGTTTTTGTTATACATGGCAGTGAGGGTAGAAAAAATGTTTAAATGTCTTAGTAAAGATAAATTTTTGTTGTTTATGAATTTATTGTTTTTCATTACATTTCGATATATAAATTTACTAGGTTTTAGAATCAAAAAATGCAGAAGGAATCTTTGATGCTAGCATGCATTTGAAAGCCCAAGTTGATCAACTAACTGGAAGGAATGAAGAATTAAGGCAGGCACTCAGGGAATCTCGGAAAGAGGCTATAAATTATTCACAGCAGTTGGTAAAGGCAAATCTAAAGGTGAGTATTTTTATTCAATAAAAGAAAATGCTAACGCTAAGCATTTGAACACTAAGAAAGTATTTTGGGGATTTCTTATGAAATAGAAAAATAAGTACCTTGTATTATAAAAAAAAAAAAAGAGAGAGAGAAAAAAGGTCTAAATCTTGTATTAGACATTCCTCAGAAGAGTTTGATTTAATTAATTCCTATTAGGTCATTCACATGTGTTTAAAAAGATATTCAGTAGAGAAAGCATGAAATCTAGCTTGCTGCTTTGTAGTTTTTCTTTGGCTGTCATAGATGTGATTCTCACTCCTGGATTATTTGTTTCCAGATTGATCATCTTGAGAAAGAAACCAATCTTCTACGACAATCTCAAGGATCAAATGTAGTTTTTAAAGGTGTAGACTTACCTGATGGGATAGCACCATCTAGTGCCAATATCATTAATTCTCAGAATGAATATTTAATATATCTCTTGCAGGTACTGAAAATTTTACATGTAAATAATACAATCTTTTGTTAGTATGTTTTCTAATTTAGTCTTCATGATTTCCTTTGCATTCTCAAAATAAACAATGAGGTATATTAGTTGATTAGTATGTGTGATGGAATAAGATAAATAAAGGTAATTTATACATGTAAAGTTTGTTCATGTATCTTGTTCATTTGATCTTCTTGGGACCCTCATGATCGACAGAGAGAACTGACTCCTATAAATTGTCCTCTGATCTCCACGTATGAACTGTGGCTTAGACACACACACACACACACACACACACACACACACACACACGCATGCACACACAAATGGAACTAAAGAAAAAGAAAACACAGGAAATTAAAATGAATACTGATTGGAATTTGAACACCTAAGCTAATGGAACAGGTACTGGGATTCTTAGTCCTAATGTAGCACAGAGTAATGGAAGTGGTAAAACCTTTGGGGACTTGCATGTTGGATCTCAGTTATGACAACCTGGCCACGTGTGCTTGATAAATGAATGTGAAGTGTAGTGTTAGGGTTTTTGATGTTTAGTAAGTTATATGATCTTTTACAGTCACATTTTGTTCATCTTTAGAAATAGGAAGGCTAATTTTAGTAGAGGCACAGAAGTGTGCATTTACAAAAGGATATATGGCAGAGTGTGTAACTATTCTGTCTGGTAAAGATCTGTAGGGTAAGAACTGTATCTAATAAGCTGTTGCTTACTGCAACACCATATTTGTTAAGAGTAATTTTGCTTGTTTTATAGTATTTTTTTATGCTTATTGCTTCATTCTTTGTGCTTTATTTTAAAATGTTGAAAATACAGAGTTTTAATACATCACATAGTACCCCACTAATACATGCAACTTTAAAAATGTTTTTGTGTAAAAACACAAATTTTTTTAGTTAAAAATTAAACTTAAAAATATAGAAATGATCTATGTTGATTATGGGTTTGGAACCTTTCTTTGGTGTATTTTTCTACAATCTTTTTTGAATGGGAATCTGTACCTTCAAATTCAAAATGTATCTAATGCTATTTAAATTATTTCTGAACTAATTTTTAGGAACTAGACAATAAGGAAAAGAAGTTAAAGAATTTAGAAGATTCTCTTGAAGATTATAATAGAAAATTTGCAGTCATTCGTCATCAACAAAGTATAATATATAAAGAATATCTAAGGTACATGTAGTAGCAAAACTTAGTTTGGTACAGTATTCTGAAAGTAACATGAAAAAATATACACCCTTGCCCATAATGCTGTCAGAAACATGGTTAAACGTTTTAAAACTAGTTAAAGGATCATAACCCCTTATGTTCTGGGATTGACTGAGTTTGAACCCAGACATTAACATTGAGCAAGTTACTTTGCCTTTACCTGTCTGTGTTTTAGTTTCTTTTTTGTAAAATACTATGATAGTAGTCTTTTTTCCCGCATAGGTTTGTAATGCTTGGGCTAATGCATAGCACATTTGGCCCCTTTGTAAATGTTAGCTTCATTATCATCATAAGTATTCATACATATTCATAGGGAACTAACATACTTTTTGTTACGATCATCCCATCTATATCAATCCAATGATTTCCCTTAGTAGGAATTATATTTCCTAATTAAAGATGATTTAAACACTAATTGTATCATTTGATTAATAAGAACCCAAGCCATTTAGAGGACAGATCATATGTATGAATTCTTGTTATTATTACTGTGGTTATAAGATGGGTCTAAAAGTTCATGGACCAGAAATCCATGCCCATTGGAACATGTTTTCTCATGTAAAATTTTTAAGAATTTTAGATAAATCTTTTTTCTAGAGGTGTTTGGCTGACTGAGTCATATCTATTTAACCAAATGTAGGTCACACGTTCGAGTCTCAATCATTCAGTGGCAGAGGTAATGAAGCCACTGGAATCGGTTCATGCTAAGCATGAATGGAATATTTTTTCTGTAGACAGCTTGTACATTTTAAAAATGATTGTTTAAACTACTTTTAACTAATAAGTAAAATTATATTGGCTTATTATAGATAACAAGATACTTTGATTTAAAATACATTTTGGAGCAGATAATTCAAGCTGTTCAATATGTGCTTTACACATTATTGTCTTGTAGAGAGAATACTTAAAACCTGTTGTTTAACAAATTTTCAACTATGTCATATGTTGTTAATTGTAGTCACAATGCTGTGCAATAGATTCTTGGACTTTCCTTGTGTTAATCCTTTATATACCTTACTTTAAATCTGATGATTTCTAGTGTTTGCATTCTGAATGTTTTGTGTACATTTATTGCTCATAGTTAAGTCAGGCCAGATTGTTGAGATTTGATTTTAGAACAAGTTTGGAGTGTTAATTATACTCCTAATCCTTTTGTGTTTACAAGGATATGTTCATATATCATTCATCTCCTGGTTGAGTACTGACTTAATTTGAAGTCATTTATTTATTTAAAAATTTTTTTTTAATTGAATTTTTGTGTATTTTATACATAAAATCATCTTTTTACTCCCTTCCCCTTTGGCACCTTCCCATAACCCCCAGTACCACACATGAGTTTGCTCCTGTTGAGTGGACTTTAAGTCCAATTAGGTAGCTGTATATTACCGCCAAGATAAAAGTGCCACTACTGCACCAATGTCATTTGCTTTGCTGATCACTGATGTGGTTTTTAGGCCTTGATGCTAGGGTTGAACCATCGATTAATGTTCTCCCTTACCAGCTTGGGTAGTGCTTGCCAAAGCTATGAGAGGTAGTCTTTAGGGGAGGTGGCTTCCAGGTCAGTTCCAGCTCTGCTCCAAATCCCGTGTCCAAAGTGTGTCCTGTCTTCAGCAATAAGATCTTACATTCAAGTTCTGGGTGGCAATCAAGGACTGTGGCAGTAGCCTGTGTAATTCGGGGAGTCTCTTGGACCACCCTAGCTAACAACTCAAAGGAAAGTTTCTCCTGTCTGGCGCTGTTTCTTGCTATGTAGCTTCATCTGTACTCATGGACTCATGTAAGGATATAGTATGTGTAATTTTTCAGTAGGTTTTTGGACTAATCCAGTTCCCTTTGTTTTTTAATATTACCTAGGCACTATTTATCTCTCGTCTTTATCTCCCTGTCTTATCCTCCCTCCTGCCCTCCCATTTAAAGTCATTTTTTTTTAACCAACTTTGGCCAGTGGATACCCCTTAAAGCTAGGTCTTAGGTCAGTTTGATAAGAAACCCTTAGTTTTTGAATTATATCTTGAAGAACCCTTTATTCAATTTAAGTTTTAAAGCATGACTTTTTTGACACAAGATGGTATAGAGTCACCTTATGTATTTCTTGTCTGAATGTGGAATGGGATATTATATTGTAATTATGTTAAAACAGTAAGGTAAAAATGGAAATAACTTAATGAAAACATGATGTTACTTTTAATGTATTAAAAACATTGAGTGAAGTTTTTAACTTGTTTGTCAAATGATAGGTAATATCTCTCTTTGTTTTGAGAAAATTTCAAGTTTCCATAATATAAATTTTATTAGATTTGCATTATTATCCTTTTTATTGTTACTGCATGTTTTATAGTGAAAAGGAAGTTTGGAAAACTGAATCTGAAATCATAAAAGAGGAAAAGAGGAAACTTGAGGATCAAATCCAACAAGATGCTGTCAAAGTACAGGAATACAATGTAAGTACAGTACTTTTGATATTTTCTTTCTTTTTTTTTTTTTTTTTTTTTTTTTTTTTGTTTGTTTGTTTTGAGCCAGGCTCTTCCTGTAGCCCTATAGCCCTAGCTGCCTGGAACTCACTGTGTAGACCAGACTGGCCTTGAACTCACAGAGATCAGCCTGCCTCTACCTCCCAAGTGCTGGGATTAAAGGCGTGCGCTCCCACGCCTGGTTTGTTTTCATTGTTTAATTGAATTTTTGCAAATATATATTTTCATCATATTTAGACTTTCCTCTCACATCTGCACCCTTCCTTAATACCCCCTGCCTGACCCCCCTGCTTGACCCCCTGCCTGATTTCATAAATTCCCTTTATATATATTAAGACCTGTTGAGTCAAATTTGTGTCTCTAAATGCCCTTCAATATGGGTCCATCCCCTGGAGCCTACTATCCAGCTGCTTTTAACATTGTACAGTGTACAAACAAGGATGACTAGATTCAGCGAGTAATACCAATGTGACTTTCTACAGAATTTGCTCGATGCTCTTCAGATGGATTCAAATGAAATGAAAAAAACACTTTCAGAAAACAGTAGGAAAATCACTGTTTTGCAAGTGAATGAAAAGTCATTAATACGGCAGTATACCACCTTAGTAGAAATGGAACGACAGCTTAGGAAAGAAAATGGGAAACAGAAGAATGACTTGATAGCAATGGAAGCAGGAGTTTGTGAAAAAATTGGAAGCTTGCAAAGATTTAAGGTATTTTCTAGAGATGAAATAGAATCCTGAAAACTTACCTCCAGGATTACTGATGTTTATTGACAATTGCTATAGTTACTTCATCTGTTTTTTGGTAGAAATACTTAAATTGTAGACATTTCTCCTAAATATTTTGGTATACATCTCTACAATAGAAAGCTTTTATTTATATAACTGTAATGTTATTTTAGCTAAAAGCTGGATAATAATTCCCTAGTTTAGCCTATTGCAGAGACTGTATTAATTTGTCTTTGTTTTTCCAGTCTTAACACATGAATAGTGAATTTATTGGATTTAGATGTCTTAAATCTCATTTTAGAAACCTATTTGCTTTTGTTTTGCTTTTTTTCTCTGAAGAATATTTGATTGATCTGTTTTGTTTAGTTTTTAACAAATTTATCTCTGAGTCTATGGTTTAATTCAAGTTAAATAGTTTTAACAAAAATATATCTTAAATAATATTCTGTCACTTCAGAACATAGTGTGTCTGACGTTTTTGATATTTTGCAAGGGAATCACATCATTTTATGACCAATAACTACATTTTTAAGAAACTAGCTGGTAAAATATAAATAAAGGCCCCTTTGTCATTTCTCTCAATGAATTCATAGCCAATGATGATTATTGCCTGGTGATGGATGTTCATGATTTTCTTGGTATATTAATGTTTTTACATTCTTTTGTAAAATAAAGAACTTGTCCATTGCCCAGGCTGTTTGGTAGTCTTGAAGCACACTTCAGTGCAAAGCCAGGGCAAGAGCTTCCCTCTTCCCTCTCTTCCAGTTTTCAGAGGGCAGCATGTCTGTACTCTCCTTCCTTTTCTAGTTTGGGTGGGTTCTGCTTCTTGGGTGTTGATAGACTCCAACTTTCAAATATTTAGGTGCATTTTACTCAATTGATGATTCTTTATCTCATCTTTGTCCTTTGGGAGCCTTTTAAAAGTGTATCAGGGTTATTTTAACAAGGACCTATTAGTTTTTGAATCAATCTTGATTTGTTCTGGCACAACAAAATGTTCTAGACTTCACTTACACACTTCTGTCCTGACTTGAAATGAAATAATCCATTTCTCTAAGGAGCCCTCTTTATTTTTAAAGGGGAAATACTTTCCAACCCCAAACTGATCTGAGTGTCTTTACTCTTGGGATGTTATTACTGCTAATTTCCTTTGAGGAGAAAACTTAAGAAATAGAATGTATATATGTATTTTTGAATATTTTATTTATTATTTTTATTTTATGTGTATGAGTGTATTGCCTGCATGTATGTGAGTGCACCCGTGTCGTGCAGTGCCGTGGAGAACAGAAGAGGGCTTTGGAGTCTCCTGGAACTGAGTTAAGGACGGTTCGTAGCTGCCATGTGGGTGCTGGGAATTGAGCCTGGGTCCTCTGTAAGAGTAGTCAGTGTTATTAACCGCTGAGCCATCTAGTATATTTTTAAACTGTGGTTTCATATTGTTATTTCCAAATCAAGCTTAACATTGTTAGATAAGTATAATACAGTTTTTTCCTCTCATTTGATTTTATACTTGTATTTTCCTTATTTTGCCTAAAAATGTGCAACAGAGTAATTATTTTATTATACATTATCACACATTAATTTAGAAACAAAAACAGCTGCAATACTTGTGAATATAGCTTTACAGTTCTTATTTTCCTTAGAATCTAGTCCACTGAGCACATATAGGGATAATAACATATTCTAGTTATTTGAAATAATTCTCTAATATTATTCTCCATTTCTTTTTATTATGGATATATAAACATTTAAGTTTTCAAAAGATTTTATCAGAGAAATCTTAACTGCTGCGTCTGTACCTTTTAGCCTCCTGCCCTATTTCCTGTAGGTAAAAGACTATCCTTCTAACAGTTCTTTTTGCAAATATAAACAAAAAACCAGGAGTGATTACCACCATTCACACATTCACACCTATCTATACTTGACCTTAAGTTTTAAGCTTATAAATGACTGCATTTTGACAAAATCATATAAACACAGAATTCAAAGCAAAATTAAAAAGTTACCGTCTACTTTAAATAATGTATAATATTGTTGTGTTGTCATGCTGAGAAACCAATTTTCAGTGTCATCTTAAAACCAAATCATGATTCAACAAGAAATCTATTCAGATGAAAGCAATTTCTATTTGGACATGAACTAAGCCATAAGAAATGTTCTTTTTTAAAAATTGAATTTGTCACTTTTTGAAAGGAATGTACTTTTCTAGAGTTTTACCAATACAGGTAGTGTTTGAAATGGGAGTTGGAATTTTATCCCAACCATTTTTTGTTGTTTTTCTTTTGTTTTGAGTCAGAGTCTCTGTAGCCACAGCTGATGTTCTGGGATTAAAGGTGTAGTCCACCATGTCTGGCCCAGTCTTTTCTTAAACCATAAGTTTTTTTTTTTTTTTTCAAAACAGTTAAGAAAGCAAGAAAAGGGAATAATTTAAAAATAAAACAAAATTGCATCTACTTTCATCCACCCTACTCCACAAATGAAACCAAATCCTAAGAATAAAGATAAAATAGTATATGTTTATTTACATGAAAAAAGGCTGTCACAGTGGGATCTTAAGTCCACTGTATTGCAGAATGAATTACAATTTCAAATTCTTCTTCATCTTTAGTGCATCAATTTGGTTATTTATCACTCCATTACTTAACAAGCTTCCATCACTCCTCGTTGTAATTTTCTATTAATTTTTGCTTATCACAAAGCATCCTTCTGGAGAGAAGTAAAAGTTCAGGCATCAGGTCTATGTTAATAGAGACACCTCAGTACCTTTGATTAATGACTCTTAATTGCTATAGCAGAGCATTATGTTATTTATCTTCCTGGTACTATAACAACAACAACAACAACAAAAAAAGATATTTAAATTTAAAAATAGGTAAAGTGTGTTTGATTAGAGTTATGGAGGCTTGGGGGCATGACCTCATGCCTTTCTCCTGTGGTGGCAGTGGCAAGAGTACATGGTTTACAGAGACCTAGACATCTCATGGCCAGTAACAAAGAGAAAGATCATGGAAAGACAAAGGTCCCACAGATCCCCTTGAGGACATGCCCCCAGTGACCTAAGACATCCCACCAGGCCTCACATCTTAAAACTTTTACAATTTCCCAGTAGCACCATGCTAGAGAATAAGCTTTTAACATGTTTTTGGAGAATATTTCATATTAAACTGTAGCAAACATCAAATAAATAACTTAAATTTTATTACTACAGTTTATTGTGATAGATATTTTAATTACTAAATAATGTGAACCAAAAATTAATCTGTGTCACTTACAGAAAGCAGTTATAGCTAAGGCATAAAGGTAACCTTAGTCAGTACTTAATTTTGTCATATGACTGTCATTTGTCAGGTTGGTTTTAATCTTCTGAAATTTAGAGCAGTCATCCAAGTGTTTTCTGAGCTATTGCTGTATATTATACTTTCTTATATTAATTGAATTTCATTATAGCAGAAGTTATAAAGAGGATTCATTAAATTTTTTAATTAAAAATTTTCAAATATTTCCTATATGAAAGTAACAAATGTATTCTTACATGGGAAATCTTGTATATTTAAAATGGCTCTAAAATCTGTTTTGTTTTCAGTTAACTTATCCTTCTCAAACATGACTTCTGCTTTACTACAGAAAAGTATACCGACTTGATTCATATATCTTTCTTTACCTAGGAAATGGCCATTTTCAAAATTGCGGCTCTCCAGAAAGTCATAGATAATAGTGTTTCTTTATCTGAACTAGAAGTAGCCAATAAACAGTACAATGAACTGACTACTAAGTACAGAGATATCTTGCAGAAAGATAATATGCTTGTTCAGAGAACAAATAACTTAGAACACATAGAGGTAAGTTTTGTTACTTTTGAGCTTTGTTATACTAGCCATTTTACTTTAAAGGATTTCCTTGTATTTGTGTTGATTTTGCTAATTTTAAATTATTAAAGTTAGCTTCTATTTACAGAAATTTATGGAGGTATGATTATAGGTTTATGGTGGTATAATCTATAGGTATAATCTAATTGTATTTTGTCCTGAATATCTATATCTATTTTAATATATAACATTTCTATTCATGGTTGCAAATGAAATAAGGATGATTTTATCTAGGTCATCCTTCTGTGCCATTTGTATGACTTAGCTGAGACAGACTTCTTTCATGAGGCAGATAGGGTATTGTAATGAATGGGGAGGGGATGCCATTAAGTATCTGTTCCTTTCTCTTCTGACCCTTGTTCGCAGAGCAGTCTCATAGTCTCTAGATTCTGTTTATTAGTTTAGATTTACTTGACTGTTGTATTAATGGCCTTTCCTAGGCATTGGATAAGCTTTACAAGTTTCCATTTTTAAAAAATTATTTATTTAATAACAACATGATTAGAAGAAGCATTTCATTACAGCTTTAACATATTCAGTAACAAATTTCCAGAGCAAAGATACATCTCTTTCAAAAGTGTCTGTAAATTTTTAGGTTCACAGTTGAATTAATACAGTTATACAATATTGAACTCAGTATAAGCCCTATAAGACATAAAATTGAATGAGGTTTTAACCTTTAAAAAAGATCTCCATTTCATTTAAAAATATACAGAAAAACTCATTTTTAATGCTACTAACACTTAGATGTTTGCACATGCATCTTTAATCTCTATGTATCTGATTGTTAATAGTCACGTTGGTTACACTTGGATCCTTGGCACCTGAGTATGGATATAAAGTCATCAGTTGATTTCAGTGGTAGCGTTTTTCACCTTTACTAATTAACATGAAGCAATTTTTTATGCTTCTTCCTCAAATATAACTCATTTTTTTTATTTGTTGATTTTTTTTCTGTGTATCATACAGAACATCCCAAACAATCTTACTCATCTAAATACCTACTTCCCAAATGGCACCCTCGCATATTCCCCCTCCCCCCACTGGAGCACATATGCTCTGTAATCCCTGTTACTGTCCACTGGGTTGTCGGTGCCCCCAGCCATTCCCCAGAGCTTGTCCATCCCCTGAATCTAATCAGCCTATCTAGAGTTCCTTGTTTTAGGAAGATCAGCTCTTCCTCATCTAGCAGCAATCAGTTGTCAATATTCCTTTAAATAAGATTGGGGCCTGCTGTTCATTTTCCCAGTTCTGTGCTGGGTTACTGTCTGGGAGTCTCTTGTGCCATCCTGGCCAAAAACTCACAGGACAGTATCTCCTGTCTGGCATTGTTTCTTGTTATGTAGCCTTTACCTAAGCACATGGACTCTTAAACAATTATATTGACCCCTTTAATCTTTGGTTATACTTTCCTTTTGGGTGTTTAAGAGTAAACACTGGGCCCAGATCAATTAACTTATTTTTACTCTTAAGGCCCTTTGAGGATATGTTCCTGGGTTACAGGAGGCCCCTGGCTCCTTTCTTTTACGTTTCATCTATGCGAACATAAGTCAAAGGTCCTGCTCGACCATGGCTGGCTTCTTTTGGAAGCATGGAGGAAATGTTTCCACTGTGTTGACCCTCCTCTTTGTATACTTGTTCAGTTCTATTTGATGTGTCTCCATGGTCTCCTTGATCAAGAGGATAGGTGACTCACCACCATTACAGGACATTTTGAGAGATGCTTATAGTTCCCTGGAAATTAGTTGACCTAGGAGGGCAGGGAGCAAAAACTGTCCTTTATGTTCCTCTGACCAAATTAGTATAGGCCTCAAAGTATGGCTGTTAAACATCCAAGAAGGTTAGTTCCACTAGTCTGGTACTTTTAATTACCATGTGCCATGGAGATAAAGCTTGGGCAAAGAGCAAACATTCTCAGATAGATCTTGCCTAGATATATATTATATTCCTTGAGCTAGTTGTATATATAATTTGTTAGTAGGTTGTTTGATTAATATGGTACCCTCTGATTTGTTTTAAAACTAGCTAGGCATAATTTATCTCTTGCATTGTCTAACTCTTCCACCATGATTTCCCCATTTAAAGTACCCCCATTTTTCCCATTTCTCCCTTAATAATACCCTTCTCCTATGGTCCCAGCAATCTTGAGCTCCTTCTTTCCCTTTATCCCCTAGGTTCCTTGTATAACCTTCCTTCCCCCTCCCCCCTTAAAAAATCCTATTTTTATCCCTATCTCCCTTATTAATGCCCATTTCCTACTCTTTTTCTCTTTCAGATTCTTTCTTTTCCTTTACCTCCCTGGTTCCTTTTCATTTTCCTGGTTCCTGTAGTTATGTCTGGATACATACTCACTTATCAGAATTTGGTTCTTGGATCGACATATGAGGGAGAGCATACGTCTATTTTTTTTTCTGAGTCTGTGTTACTTCACTTAATATAACAGTTTCTAGTTCAATCCATTTACCTGCAAATT